TGGTGCCAGACAGTCTAGTTTCTCCCCGTATGAGTCTGGGTCCCTAGAGACTCGCCCTGAACTGGAGTTCAGAGATGTCGGGAGCCTGTGTCTTGCTCCCGATTGAAAAAGACAGCTGAGTCCTCAGTTGCCAGCCCTTTCCACATGCGCCTCTGTACCTATGCACTTTCCTTCCGCACCTCCTCTGAGTCTCAGTGTGCTTTTCTCTTTCCTTCTAGTTGTAGAATTTCCACTCGGCCAGCCTTCCTGTGGTTCGGGATGATGTCTGTTTTGTCTTTTAGTTGTATTTTTGAAGTGGTTGTGCAAGACAGCAATTTCTGGTGTTTACCTATGCCCCCATTTTAGTTTCTATGCTTTTTTTTGACTCAAAATAAACCAAACCCATTTAAAAGAAGGAAGGCAGGGATGGGAGCCTGGAGGAGTGGCCGAGAAGATCCTCTGATTCAGGCAGGAGGGGATAGGCGAGGCGAGATTTTGAAGCTTCAGCCTTTCCTGAGGCCTGGTGCCTCTGACCACAGTTGTCCCAGGCTTTTGGATTCCACTGGGTGTCTGCCATCACTTCAGCTCTCTGCTCCTGATGGTCCTGCTCTGGCTTCCTAACCCTAGTTGTTGGGGTGAGGGGTGGAGAGCAGAGGGTGTGGTCTCTCTTCATATTCTAGCCCTAACTACTTCTCATCTGTTGCTTGATTAAGAGATTCCAATTACAGACCAAACAGTATTAAGGTGACAGCAAAAAAGATAATTATTTGGATTTAAAAATTTTTTAAATAATTTAAAAGATTATTTTGTGGATAATTTTTATTTTCCTTAGTGTTTGCATACATTATTTTTACAAACACTTGAAGAAGGAAGAATATTGTGATTATGCAATGATTTAGTTATAAGGATGTTCACTGAAATGTTAAAATAGTGGGGAAAAAACCCAGAACCCTAAATATCCAATAATAATAAAAAGATTAAATAAATTATGCAATAGAAGACTATGCTTCCTCAATTTCTGTCATTATTATACTGGCCCTGTGACCCAGTCCAGATGTTAGCTTCTTGTGGCACTTCGTTTGAAGCTACCTGTGGTCGGGGGGTGCTGCCAGCTCCACCCAAGACATAATAAGGTATCATCATGTGGTTGTTGTTTCCAATCTGCACTGCTTGGCTGTTATAGATGGAAGGGTACCATGTCCCTTGAAAAGAAACAGAGGTGTTAGTGTGAGGGTTAAGTCTTCAGCAACTTAGGAGGAGCAGGAGAGTGGAGGGGCAGCAGCACCTCGTGTTCGCCCGGGGAAATGCAGAGACGGCGCTCAGGGCCTCCCAGGGAAGGTGTCAGGGGTGCCTTTGCCTTTCCCGGGCAGGCTGCCCCTTCAGAACTGGGTGTGCAGAAGCTCAAGAGTGGTGGCAGCTGACGTTTCTGACCTGGGTATTTGGATCTTTTCTGCTTGGAGGACTCAGCACAG